TGGGGTGGCAGATGAACCTGGTCAGAAAACAAGGAACCTGAGAAGTGTAAGCCCAATCCCAAGCCTGCTCTCCATCATGTGGGCAGAAACCAGTTTAGGAGCAACACGGAGAACTTCTGTTCTGACCCAACCAACCTTCTGCTATTGCTTAGCCTCACAGGTGAACGGCTGGACTCTCCCCATTCTCTTTACTGCGATGCCCCGCTTATTTTACAGGGTGGAAATGTGCCTGCGCGTACTCTTCAAACCATTCTCTTCTCCTGAAGCCACCAAAGCATTCCTCTGCTTGTTCAGCATCTTACACCACTATCACATGCCACCATAGTCATTACAAAATCCCACAAGAGACCTGCCCATGTATCTCAGCTCCCTGTCTCTAGCTATTGCCTCTGAAGGTCCAACCAAATATCTCTCTTTGTAAAACAGCTGTTAATTTGTGAGTCTTACAGATTTGAGAAAATTATCTTATTGCTAAAGCCAGTGACAAAAAAACCACATGGGCTCACTGTAGCTGCAGAAAGTCTAAGAGCTTTAGGTTTTGCCCAGCACCGAGACAAAGAGGGAAATCCTGGCCCCACTGAGTGCCAGAAGAGCCAGAACATCACCTTGAGCATGGTCAGTCCAAGATTTTTATCCTTCCTTGCAGGTCCTGGGCCAGCGGAGCAGCACAGTTTGTGCCAGCCCTCCCAGAGAGGCTGCGTGTGCAAGAGCAGGACTCACTGGCACACACAGTCTGCAGGGTGAAATCAGCCTGATCCTGACATTATATAGTCTTAGCAACATCCAAATGTCTCATCTCAGAATTGGACGCATCTAATGAAAAAGACAAAAGGTTCCCAGGATAGTAGGTTTGTTTTCCCTCCTTAAAAAAAACAACCAAACAAACAAAAAATCCCTTATTTTTCCAGTCGACTCATTTGAGACCTATGTCCTCCTGTCCTGCCTGTTCCTTCCCTCCTCACTGGCTACCAGACCCTTTTCTCCAGACGTACAATACATTTGGTCTATAAAGAGAGCATTCTCCATGTACAGCTGCGTTGGAGTAACTCTCAGAGGCTCTGAAGCGCAGCCAACATGCAGAAATATAAAACCCAAGAGGACTGAGTCTTGTTTCATCTGAGACGGGTTTATCTTACGCTGTTCTCTGAGGGAGCTGACCATTTCCACTCAGACATAAGAAGCAGGCATTTTTGACAATATGTTTCTGAACTCAAACGCAACCAGAGGGTCTTGATTTTGTGGGGGTTTTTTTTAAACTCCATTTTGTTGAAAAAAACCCAATGCCCTGTATTTCTGCAATATTCCCACAGCAGAAATTAAAGTCTTTTTTCTCAGTTAGGTCTAAAAGAGAAAAATTATGGATTAAAACACCACATGAAACAAATGATAAATCATTTATGTGCAGCTGGTAGGTACTCAGATATGATATTTAGAAGTGCTGAATAAAACACCTGAACAGAGCAGAAGAGAAGATCGCACAGAAGGAATGAACTCCACAGTGCTACAAGCCATCTGAGCGGAGACTCACCCTGGCAGCAGGGTGAAAGCAAGCGAGCAGCGCCAGACTCCCTGTAACCCACCAAATTTCAGGCCAAATACACAGACCCTGTAATTTGAAATTCCCACAATGAAGAATACACATATAGTACTTCCAAAGCAAGTTACTGAGGCACCCTGGAAATTCCAGGGCAGCATACAAGGGGACTGTATCTTACGACGTTATTCCAAAACTTGATCTAATACGGAAGGCAGTGTGCTCGGCTGGCATTTGGGAAGCACACAACTATGTTCTGCTGCCTTTCTTCACAGCCAGCTGGCTTTGAGATGGGATCAGAAGCATTAGCCCCACCCACAAGAACCCAAACCTGATCAAACTGCCACAGTGGTAATCAGCCATGGTGCTCCTCCGAGGGTTGGTGTAACAGAAAGTGAATGAAATTAGAAATGCCCTTTCTTTTCCTGAACTCTGAGAAGACTTCAAAATTGTTTTAGCTGTAAGGCTTGGGCTAAAAAGACAGAGAAGCACTGCACTACCTCACCCTAGCAGAGAATTACAGTGTCTGTCCTGAAATTTGATACATCATAGAACAGTTTCCTTCTCCCCTTTAGTTTATTCCTTCTCCCCTTATTGTATCAATAATCTGTGCCTAACTCAAAATATGGAAAAATGAAGAATTGGGAAGGGAAAGGACATTAAGCATGCTACCTACATCCAAAAAAAAGGAGTTTTCTTTTTTATTAAAATCAGCATCATTTCTTTACTGTTGTTTCTTGACTCACTGTGATCTAAGAAATGAGTCTATTGACTGTTTCTATATTGTGTGTTCACCTGAGTAACTGAAAATAAAACCAGTATTTGAAGCAGTATCTATTCCTTGCTAATTACTGCAATAGCCCCTTTTCCAGCACACACAGTGTAACTAACCCTATAGTTCAGTAATCTATACAAGGTTCTCTCTTCTTCTTCTAACTTAGTTCAGTGCATGATATGCAAGTTTACTCTCACATGGGACAGATGATCTACATTCACAGACAGAAGAAAACTGTGCATATAAACTATGTGGCTAAAGCCTGCTGGAAGCATAAAGAATAACCACAGCAGCTTGGAGCAAAGCAGGAAGAGAAAATGGGATATAGAAACACCTGATCTGCTGCCTACAACAAGCCTTTATTAGGCTTCTTCAAGCGTAACACCCGCTGCTGGCTGCAGCCAGCACATATGTGAAGGAAAAGGAAACTCTTTTCTTCTTCCATGTGCCTTGCTAGCTGGCCTTTACAGTGGAAAGATATTTTTCCTCATTTTTATGGTGATTAGCTTGTTTGGGGAATTATAAGACTGAGTCTATCATCCATCAGCTTATGTAACTTTGTACTAATGTTTTTAAAAATGACACAGCCACACCACTTGCTCTGTTCTCCTCTGTGAGATGATCCACACACATCATACACTACTGCTCCCGCAATTACTTTCTCAAGTAATCCCATTAATACAGTGCAGAATAGTCCCTCAGACATTATCTAACCAACAGCTTCAGTAAATTCTTCTGTGTTCAGGCTGCGCGCCATTTGTCTCTTGTCCTTTGCATTCCTATCTCTTCTTAATGACTGTCTCTTCACGCACCCGTGAGAAGCCCTAGCCTGAATCGTACTCCTGTTGATGCTACTGGCCACATCCAGCCCGTTGATGGGACCATGTTTTTTCTCCTTTGTTGTACTGCCAGGGCAATCTTTTTTAAGAGCTTCATTCAGATAAACAAAATGTATTCTGCTTTCACTGCCTGGCTTTGATGTGACAAACCTTGAGCTCTCTCCATGTGTTGAGCCAAAGTGAGTGGAGCATGCAATACTGATTTTTGCCATTTTCTAGTCTTGGTTCCACAGTCAGAAGAATATATTGCAACTGGTCCGTGGAACAAACTAACCCAGTTTTGTTTCTCTTCAGATCTGCACTGACCGCTTTAAATTAAACATGATGTCTCACCCTAAGTGACTCACTCCTGTAGCTAGCTAAATTCAAACTGTCTTCTTTAAAGCCTGCAATCTAAACAATGCATTTTATTGTCACAGCTACGTGGACATTAGTTAAAACAACTTTACATTCCGAAAACAGCTACATGATGTTGCTGTTTTATGTGGTTTTGGCAAGAACACTGCACTTTTTCTCTTTAAGCACTGCTACCTCTTGCTCCCAAACACGGCTGCTGCACTAACAATTAGCAGGTCAGGCCAGTATCGCTGCTGAAGAGTTTACAGAAAGCCATTCCTAGACACTGGCAGGGAAACAGATTCCTAATAAGGCAGCCAAAGCTACCCTTAGCAATGGGACGATACCCAGACACCACATCAGACCAATCTCATGAAGTTCCTACAGAATCCTCTGCAAAACACGGCTCAGTTCTGTGAAAGCTCTTGATGTATTTCATGCTCTTCCTGCCTGTGGACTCTGCTTTATATTTGACTCCCTGAAGCCTCCAGATGCAACCATTCACGCTGTGGGCTCGTCCCTCCAGAACAACCCAAGCTACTGACACACAGCGAGAGGAAAAGTTGTTGTCCCAACCAAGCATACAAGGACCAAGGAGAACATAAGCCCTCCTCCCTCAGTAGAAGCAGCAAAGGGCAAGGAAGATCATTACCAGTTCCCATCCTTCCCAGTACCTCTGCCCAGTCTCAGTGCCAAGCTTTCTCAGAAGTCCAGCACCTTAACAAGAAGAAAATTACTCTCTTTCCAGCTCCTCTCCTTTAAATATTATATTCTGTTACAATGCTTTTAACGATCTGCAATAACCTCCTGTGCTTCCAAGCCAGGATCTCAAAACACCTGAAAAACCCTGACTCTCCTTCATCTTTTGCAGTGAGTTAAAGGAAAAAACAGAGGGACAGAAATTACATGACTTTGAATCCAACTCTGTGCTCAAAAAATCTAGACCCTGACTCTGTCTGTGGTAAGCAAAGCAACGAGCTGGTGGGAGAACAGCGCATCATTCTGACCGACTGCACTATTAAAATATCATTGAATTGACACCTTCTTTAAATGACCTTTGAAATAGCATACACGCAGCCAATCAAAATAGCTTGCCAGCGACGCACTGAGAGTCCCTCCCTGTCTACAAACCCCATCTCAATTAGTTTTCTCTGTATCATTTGCAATTGCCTGTCACCTTGAAGAGTGAAATGCTAAAAAAATTTAAAATAAAATAAAAAAAGAACCACAACACAAGATGGTTCCCACTCTAATCAGTAAAAATAGCTAGGATGGCAGATAAGATTTCTGGCATGCTGGGGAGTAGAATTTAGACTGCATGCCACATATCAGTGGTTAGATGTTCCCTGTTATTTTTCAGATATTCAGGCAAATGATCTTCACATGCAAAGGTAGGCTGGTATATACTTACTGATCTTGGATGCGCCCATAATTGTGATAATCAAGTTAGGTAAGTTACCATGGAAAGCCTTTGCAAAATGTACAACTTATATTTCTATAATTAAAGAGGACTTACCTTTAAGGACTCCCAGAGGGGAAATTGTACCAGAGAGAAAGGAATCTGGAGAGGTGGGAAAAGAAAAAAAACAACATAATATTACAAAACCAAATTAGGTTGGTATGTTCCTCAACTGGCTAAATTAGGAACAGTTATTGTTCACTCAGTGAACTGCAGCTTATTACATTTACAAATCTTTAAGGACACTTTATCTACGCGGCCATTAAATGACTGGTTTCACTAAAGCAGTTTTACTTTGTTTATCACATTCCCTGCCGAGAGGTTAATGTATTGTTACCAGGCTGGCCTAGAAGAGCAATAAGCAGTATGATCTAGTGCAGGGACATTCTTGGTTTGACGCTCAGCCAAGAAAGCCATAAGGGTGGTTCAAGCAACACGCTCCCAAGGCCAGGAACACAGCCTGGCAAAAAAGCATCTTCAGCAATACACACTCTCACAAATGCTGAGCTGAAAACAGTTGTGCTCCAACCAGGGCTTTGCAGTTTGGGCATCAGCTACAGAGAGAAACTTTTCTGAACATCTCCCAGTGATCTCACATTAACTAGTTCCCTCGAGAATTAAAAGCAGGTTGTGAAGAGCTACGACAACCCAACCAAAACCCAGGGAAGATGCTTGGTGGTTCTCTTCCCATCACCTATAACAAGAGGTTCTTATGTCCAGCAAAAGCCTGTATCTCTACCTAGGCTCATTCCTATGCCTGTGCATTTCCAGCTCCTTTACAGATTTTGCCCTGATAAATGCCTCATGACCAACTCTCTCAACACACGGGGGAAAAAAGCAAACATACGTCTCCGTCAGCTCTGTAAGCTGTGCAGGGTTAATGTGTATTAAGTCAGTTTTCACCGTGAACAGAGTGATTCTTTGCAACAAGAGACATCACTTTCCAAGGTTATGCCTTCCCTTATAGTTTCATCCCCCTCCAATCTCTCCACTAAGTTCTTCTCGCTCTTCTTCCTCCTTCACCACTCTGACAAGCCCTGCCCATTATCCATCTCTGATACCAACCCTGCCTCTGCTATCTCCAGCGCAGGTATCTATCTCAAGACATTTCAGAGGAAGGAGTCCCTATGAAAATACTAGCCTGTGCCAGAATTGCCCTACAGCTCTATCTGCAGGTCTACTTTGCCCCTTCCTGAATGCTTCTGCAGTTACCTCCTCCACTTAAACAGCCAGTCAGCCCCAGTTTCAAATCTTCTTCCAAGTATCTGTTTTCTTCTCCTACTCTTATCTTCCTTCCCCAAGCATGATGCATGTCAGATTAGTTTTCCCCCTTATATAGCCTGATTTTGTAGTTTGTGCATGATTTTTTTAGTCTCAGAAAGCACTTATGCACCTTTTGCCATGAAAAGTAGTACACACTCAAAATGGGTCACACTTAACTCATACATACATTTTTGCTCTTTGTAACGTGAGTAATGTCAGGTTAAAAACATTCACTACAGAGATATGAAGAGCTTATTAAATCCAAATTCAAGCTACACAAAGGAATCTGAAATGGTACATCCATTCAACATCACAAGAGTTAAAGAGTATTGTCTGCTTCACTGTGTTGCAACTAATGATTAATAAATGAGTCTATTAAGTTAATCTGCCAGGCAAAACTAAGCTTGACAGACACCTGCCACAGAAAATTTGTTATCTATTCAGGCAGGAAATGGCAGTGAGAAGAAATCAATGTCACTGCTGTACATTGAGCTGACAAACTGAAATCTCAGAGGAAGTTTGTCATCTTGAACAATGAGCAATATCCCTGGTGGCATCTCAGAGCCCCACAATAAAGGTCAGACATGGCTCTTATTTATCAGGGCCTTGAAACTCTAGTGTAGCAATTAAATTTTGTTTTTAATACTGGGTGAAAAAGTCCAGCTATTTGACAGTAATGTGTGGTAATATATTTATGAGAAAAGATATATATATCCACATGCTTCTGCATCACTGTTGAATTGGAGTTAAATGGCATGATTTCTTTGCAAAGTAAAATGAAAAGCAACACAATCTTCTATTATCTAGGCCAAAAAAAGAGAAAAAAAAAAGAAACAATATCCACTACATTTGCTTCAAATTTGTTAAAAGAGAGAAAAGGAAATGCTCTATATCCAGCTGTACACCAAACAAAACAAGCTTTCAAATACAGTCTCCAAGTTTTGCTTTTTTATACGCGCGAATGAGTGGTAAAATTATGCAGCTGTTAATAAGACAACAAGGGAAGCTTTTGACATAAACCCCTTTTTATCTCCTAGCTAGAAGCATTTAAATCAAAGAGGAAATTTGTTCACGACTGCTGTTTGATTTTCAGCGTCAGTGGTGTTTGCCTTCCGTGTCCCGCTCAGCGGGGACCAGAACTGGATAGGGGTTATTGGTTTCACTTTTCCCGGTGCGCCCCATGAGATGCTGCGATGTGCAGGCTACCAAAATGCCTGGGAAGATTTTGGATGTATGTCAGTGGGATCCGCACAGCCGCTGGGCTCCCTCCTCTCCAAGACACCTGCAGGGCAAGGGCCTAAACATTCATAAATCACATTTTAATTGATTTTGAAAACTTGCAAAAATCAAACAAACTAGGGAGCACCACCAAGAAAAACAAGCATAGCAGCACCTTTGCATGCACTAAAAAGATCCTAACGAGATGTCCTCCATTTCTTACAGTTGTCCATTGGAGCCTGTTTGACAACATCCTGACTTAAAAACAAAACCGACACAAGCGATTTCATGGGTACTGGAGTCTGGCTTCCTGTGGATTTGGTTTTTGTCATCAGATTCTGTAAAGCCAAATAATTTCCAAGCCGGGTTCGGCGATCTTCCCATGACAGGGACCTCCATCACATTTCCTTTTGACATCTATTCCACAGCCCCTGTTGAAAGTTCAGTTCCTACTGCAAGCCTTCCCTCAAATCCCTTAATCGCCTCTATTCTCCCCTCACATACATATCTTCAAGAAACTTTCATGAACTTCTATTTATCTTTGCAGCCTCTGCCTTTCCACCACATTTCCACGGCCAACATGTCCAAGAGCTGCGCAGGCTGCTGTGTGTTCGTGTGTGCGTACACGCTGTTTGCATAAGCCTTGTTTTCCTAAGAGACCAGACTAAACAGCCCACACCCAAAAGTAGGATTAATATATGCAAAAAGACATAGCTCTGCAAGGGTAACTCATCCAACAATGAAAAAGCCTTTAGATGGCTTATTGCCCTTTATTCCTCTACCACGACAGACATGACAAAATCTCGCAGTCTGTGGACACTTAATTTGAACTTTTACAGCATTTCATTCCTTGTCATATTTTGCTTTTTAAAAGCAAATGAACAGAATCACACCCTGCCAGGCAGCGATATTTATGCCTGAAATAGGCTAAGGCAACAATAAAAATGTGGTCCACACATGTGGGTAACTTTCTGCCAGCAAATATGAAACCCTGGCAAGCTCCACCAACCTCTCATTCAACGTTAATACAAAATAGACAGAGAGTACCAGTTCTCATGTCTGGCCTAATGTTATATAACTGTGCTGTTTGTTCAACAGAGTCAACTCTTACACCAAAAATAAAAAAGTTTAAAGGCCCCAGACAGCTGTAAAACATTATTCTAAAATGTTTTACAGGTTGGCGAAATTATCATTTACTCTGGTCCCTGTAGTCCTTAACACCTGATGCCTAACTTAATGTAATGAACATTGCAGATTCTTATTCCTACACATCTACTTAATTCTCCTGATACAGAAGGATTTTAAAATATTATTTTTAATAAGTTACTTCTAGAAATAGTTGCACCTCACAGCCAGAGCAACAGATACACACATCTCGCATCTAAAAAAAAACCAACCTGCAAGTACTGAAGACTGATGACAGAACAAAAGTCCTCCAACCAAATACTGTTTAATTAAATAAAAGAAATTTAAGTAGGAGCTCAATAATACTCTCTGTAACTACAACACAACATTTTTAAGTAACTCAAAATTCAATATCTGATGCTAAATTGCAAGCTGACATTTCCTGAAGGAAACACAGCAGCCAGGGAGCAAGGAGAACATGCTGAAGGAGTGGCAAAGAAGGGGGGGAAGAACCAAAAGAAAAAAAAAAAAACACAACACTAAAAAAACCTCATCAGCCTCTTCAGAACTGGGATTCCCTTCCAAATATGAGAATTCTTTCACACAAAGAGGAAACAGATGTCCATGGCTGGAATTTGCATGTGGCTTTATTCTCTTCTAGGATACAATAAAACTACTCTTCTTCTCATCCTCCGAGCTAGAAATTAAACAGTGGCATGTCATGCATAGTCCAGCTGTGCTTTCTATCTCCAACCTTTATTAGCAATATATTTAAAAAGAAGAAGAAAAGAGACAGAAAGAAAGGGAGAAACTAGAAAAGCATAAGAAATGAAAAACTATGTGGTATGTGTTCTCAAAACAAAATAAAACCTACAGATGTTTTTACTAATCTGTGGCACATGTTTGTTTATTCAGGTTTTCTCTGTCTCCAGTTCAGCGGGCTTTGCTCTCCAGAAGAGCTATCTGTTTTTACAAATGTTAGAGTAAATAATGAAGGAGAGATCGGCATAAACAGCCAGAGGAGGAAACAGGCTCACCTTGTAAGAGCTTTCTCAATGTCCCTGAAACTGTACCTCCATCCCAGAAACTGCTCTCACCCACACCTCCGCTGTTCCCTACATCAACAGCAATGGGAGAAAAGCCAACAGTTATGAAGAGGATTTTGACAGTACTAATATCACAAAGGCCAACAGCAAGAACATCTGTTCCCTTCAGGGAGAACGTACTGCAGTCATCACAGAGTAGTTCTCAACTTGCACCTAACCTGTCACTTGCATGCAGTTTGACGGGGCTCATAGAGATGCTATCACCATTGAAGCCTGTATTTATAAGGAGTACTCCACCACAAGGTCTGAGCTGCAGGTGCGAAACTGTGTCTTCTCCATTCTAATTACAAAGAAAAGTCTAATAAACCACTTCTGAGTATCAGAAGATATACTCTTTTCCAAGGATACATAAACCACCAAATTCAGGAGAACAATCTTCCCTTTACCTAA